CAGTAGTAGTAGCAGTAGTAGCAGTAGTAGCAGTAGTAGCAGTAGTAGCTGTAGTAGTAGCAGTAGTAGTAGCAGTAGCAGTAGTAGTAGTAGTAGTAGTAGTAGTAGTAGTAGTAATAGTAGCAGCAGTAATAGTAGCAGCAGTAGCAGCAGCAGCAGCAGCAGCAGGAGTAGTAGTAGTAGTAGTAGTAGTAGTAGTAATGGTAGTAGCAGTAGCAGTAGCAGTAGCAGTAGTAGCAGTAATAGTAATAGGAATAGTGGCAGTTGCTAGTAGTAGTCTCACAGAGAAGCTGCCAAGCAATTTGATGTAGTGTGCGTTTTCGTAGAGGGCCCAGTAACTCGTAGCTAGGAGTTCGTAGTTAGTGTTTTTCGTAGTGAACAGCTTGGAGTTAGAATGCGCGTGAAGATAGCAGCTATAGTAGCTTGTAGGGAATGCTACTACTCGTGGTGGAAACGGACAAGCATCAATCATCATGGTCGAAAACAACAGAACAGTTCTTCTCCATATACAGTAGCAGGAGGAGAATATGGACCCCGTTGTTTATGGTATGCGTGTGCAGCTGACATGCCAATAAGCTCAAAGGTCACACTTCTAAGGATAGTACCCAAAGCCCAACACTTGAAGGCAAGAATCGTGCGTGATGTGCTGGTGTGGGTCTCAGTTGTGGTGGTGGTGGAGGATGTGGAAGACGAAGTGCTGGTAGCAGATGTACTGGTTGAAGTAGCAGTGGTCGCAGTGGACGATGTCGTCGTGACGGAAGATGTGAATGTCATGGTTTTGGACGTGCTCGTTGAGCTCGAGGTGTGGGTCGTGGTGGATGTCTGGGTTGTGCTCGAAGACGTGCTTGTGGCAGATGTGGTTGTTGCGGTGACTGTTGAGGTCGACGTGTGAGAAGTTGTGGAAGTCGTGCTTGTAAAGGACGTCGTGCTCGTGCTGGATGCTGTTTGGCTTGTGGTTGACGAGATGCTGGTCGTCAACGTTGAAGTTGATGTCGATGTCATCGTGATCGATGTGGTTGTTTCTGTCAATGTCGTAGTGGAGCTCGAGGTGAAAGTGGTAGATGTGGAAGTAGTTGATGTGTGTGAGACAGAAGTAGTTGTGGTAGCACTTGTCGTAGTCGTAGCTGTGGCTGAGGAAGTCGAGGTAGTAGTTACTGTGGTGGTGGTCGTTATCGTGGTAGTCAAGGAAGAGGTTGAACTGCTCGTTGTGGTCGTCTGGCTTCTGCTAGTGGTGCTTGTTACCGTCGAGCTTACGGTGGAAGTGAGACTGGTAGAAGTTGTGGCTGTCTGGGTCGTCATGCTTACGGTCGTTGTGGTCGTCACGGTAAAGCTCGATGTGGAGGTACGCGTGGCAGAAGTCGTGACTGTCGTGGTTGCGGAGGTCGTGGACGTGTCGGTGACACTGATTGTCGAGGATGAGGTGGCTGTGTAAGAGCCGGTAATCGTGGTGGTTGAGCTTGCAGACGTTGTGGATGTGTTTGTCATAGTCGCAGTCACGACGGATGTAGTGCTAGTTGTGTAGATGACCTGCGTCATCCAGTTGAATTCGTGCACGGGCGCCACCATGCACTTGCCTCAGCTCAGGATTAGTATACAGGTCGCAATAACTAGTAATAGAACCCGCATATAAACGCTATGAAACCAAAGTGCCTACGCACAAAACCCCATTCTAAATATCAAGGCCCTAAACATTCGGTGGGGAAGCGAAACTGGCATTAGTGAACTGATCATTCAGGCTTCTTTTTTCTCCCAACTCCCCAGTCAATAACTCCAAACTGAGCCACTAGCCTGGAAAGGGCGGGGCAAAGCAACTGAGCCATATAATGTGGGGCTGAAGGTTCGAGGAAAACGCTCCCTAAACCTTGAGCTCGAAGCCGAGAGCCCTACTTCCCGTAAGTGCGCGAGAGGAGGGCACCATTTCACCCGAGGAGGAAGTACTGTGGCGTTGCTGAAACCACCAGCTAGCAATTCTCGTCTGCTTCCCTTGCTATCTTTGCAGTCCTTGATGCTTTCCAACTGTGGATTTTCTGTTGGTTCGGATTTATCCTTGGTCTTGATACCACTGCCATAACTTTAATAATTGCCGTAACCACGACCCAAAGTGTTCAACTGACATCAAGCATCGGTCCCGAAACAAGATGCTCAAGGCCAGCGCCCTCCAGCGCAGCATCCAAAAACTTGAGCATGGGCCACAAGCTGCGCTCCTAAACCCTCCTAAACCCTAAACCCTAAGAAGCCTAAACCTGCCTAGGGGCCCGTGCGGAAAATAGGTCTGAACTTGCAGGCTGGGTCGGCATTGCAAGCATCAGCCTGAGCTGAGCACAGCGCTCTCAAGACTGGACGAAGCACATGGCACTTAGAAACTTTATGGCGGTTTTTTCCGTCCCACTTAGCAAGGACGGTTAGAGTTTAGGGCTTAGTTTTTCTCCTTACGGTTTAGGGCTTGGGGTTTAGGGTTTGGGGAAAATGGCAAGATCTGCACGGTGGCCACCCGACTATTGGTCGGAAGTTGTTCAGCTACAGACGCAGTTTACATCCCAAACCATAATAACAAGAGTAAAAATCGTTACAACAAGTAGACTAGACATTATAGTGGAGCACGAATAAAGAACAAAGCTAAATCAGTAGAATGAAAAGATAAGTAAATTTTAATAAGAACAAAGACAATAACAGCAATACTAGTAATAATTAGCAAAAATGAAACACTGACAGCAATGCAAAAAAAACATAACAAAAAGTACAATAAGTGCCAACGTTGGCATTTCTTTGTCTATAAGTCCGATGTTGCACAGACCGAGGTGCGGGAATGCTTGTTTGTTCTTATGCTGAGAAACAAACACACACTCTGAGCGCAACATCAGACAGAACAAACTGTGGAATCAGAATTCTCTCTGGTTGGCTTTACAAGACACGCGAACTCGGCACCTCGGAATCTCTGAAGAGCCAGATACCCAGCAAGCGGCACGAGTGGCAGTTGGATTCAGGCCTAGACATCCTAGTGCACAGATTGAAAACATGCCGGTGATTGCAATTAGCATTGCAATTCCAAACCCCTTATCCCTACCCCACCGCCCCGCTGCCAATAACTGGAAAGTTTAAGCATATCGGCATCTTCTATGATGACGCTGCAGCTGGTGATGTTGCTCATGACCTCATCGTACTGCTCCTGCCCATAGACCTGGGACGTGTTGCAAGTCAGGGCCAATGTCGGGCTTTCATCATCAGAATAGTGCTTGAGGGTTCAATACATTATAACTGATAACAGAGAGTATTTGCAAAATGATTCTTTAATTCCTACCCCGATAATATTGACTAACTGTTGGACAGGTACAGGCAAGCGTGAAAGAGACAGTGTGAGCGCGGGGTGTCAGAAGCATTTACATTCCAAACAACACCCGCTAGACCCACCTAAACCCTTTTGCAACAGGCTTTCCACTTCGCCCGGAGTTGGAGCAAGCAGCCCTAGCAGCTTCACCTAAACCCTACACCCCTAAACCCTAAGCCCCTAAACCCCGCGATTGCAGGGCTTACGGGTTGAGGGTTTCGTATTCATCCAAGAATCCTGAACCGGAGGACTAAAACTGAGGCTGGCAGCCTATGTAGCAGGCTGGAACTCAAGAATTCACGGCTAACCCGTCAAAAAACTCATGTGGTCCTGTGGTGGTTACTTGTGTTCTCAGGTTATATGCTGAAAGCAGGGAAGGTTGACACTTTGCTGGAGGGCAGGTCTTCCTAAAATCCTTTGAAAAGCTCTCCCACTCGAGTAGAACAGAATCTTTAAAAAAACCTTGCAAGCGTTTCTTCTACCTTTTGTGTGGTCCTACGTCCGAATCCCTATGTCCTCTGGTCCGAAGTCTCCCGAAGATGTCATGGTACTTTTATCTGGTCCTATCGGATTTCCCTTTCAGGGCTCCCTTTAAAGAGTTACTATGAGCGCTACTATTAAGGATTTAGTATAGGGTTTATAAGGTTTAGGCCTCGATCTCGTGGTCCTTATCCCGGAACCCTAAACCCTAAACCGTTCGCGGCCCTTATCCCGGAACCCTACATTCGTGGGGGCTGAAATCGCGGCTGGCAGCCGAACAGGACCGGAGATCGACGGCCGCTGGTTCCCAGGAGTTGCTCATGGAACCTCGAGGGCGTAGGGGGCTTTTGGGGTTTGGTTCCTATTGGTTTAGGGCTTAGGGCTTAGGTTTAGGGTTTAGGGAAAAAGGGTTTAGGGTTTAGGTTTAGGGTTTAAGGGCTTTTAGGGTTTAGGGTTTAGGGGTCGAGGGTTTATAGGGGCTGCAATGAAGGGCTGTTGGTGTAGGATGTAGGGATGACGGTGTAGGGGTTAGAAGTTAGGGCCTGCAGCTCTGGGGTTTCAAGTTTCATGCGAAGGTTTCAGGTAGAGGTGCCTCAGTTTAGAATCCTTAAACAGGCTCCTACCTCTTCCCAACTCCATCGGGTTCCTTCAAGGGCGGACTTGTCATTGTCGGGATTAAGAGACATAAGGTTACGAGGTTGAGGGGTCGGTTTAGGAATTTATGACTTTGAGGAGCTCGCGAGCTATGGCAGACACGAGTTTGAAACTACGGTACTTCCTTGCCTAACATGTATGATAAAGGTACTGCGATTCAGTCTCTTTCTTAAACGGCCCTTTGGTTACTTAGCCGTTGACTCCACCCCTGTTAGGTTTTTAGGATACGATAAAAAACCTACACCCTGAGAAGCTACACTGAGGCTCGGCTGCTGAGGTCGGAGAGAGAGAGAGAGAGAGAGAGAGAGACAGATATATATATATATATATGTACTCTAGACTTTAGGCTTAGGATTTGAGGTTACAGGGTTTAGGGTTTAGGACAGACAAGGTGCGCCAGCCGACCTTCTCTTTGTCCTCACATGGCCGCACGAGAAAATTCCTACGTCCGAGCTTCCGAGCACCTCAGGGTCTCCGTATCTGAACCAAAAAAAGCACCTCTTACCCTAGCTACCGTCGCCCTTCGACACTCGAGGCGGGATGCGATGTCCTCCCGTCATTTCACCGGAGCTTATAGCAAGAAATTAACGGGTTTAGGGTTCAGTTCATAAGCCCCCTAACTCTAAACCCTAAACCCCAAACCCGCAAACCACAAAAACCCCAAACCCCCAAACCACAAAAACCCTAAAGCCCTAACGACAGGGCCCGGGGAGTGCTCGTCAGGCAGAGGTTCGGGATTCGAGGCCCTCAACCTGAAACTCGCCAAAGCACAACCATGGGTAGTTCTCCAAGTTAGGGTCCCTTAAAGGGACCTACAAGGGCTTCTATAGGGTTTCTATAAAGGTAGTATATGGGCAGTTCTCTAAATTAGGCTCCCTTTTAATTTTAGGGTCCTTTCTTTCCAGGGTGCCGTACAGTACTGGGCACCTAACAAGGGACACTATTGTAGAGACTACCCATACAGCGTCAAACGTATGAAGGCCCCAAAACAGCCGCTTTAGCACAATAAATAGTATAAGCTTTGGCCGGGGGTGTATATAGTCTTATAGTCTTATAGTGTAGTTAGATTAATGAAATGAACCACAGCAGGTTAATTGCTCAGCACTATAAGACCCCGAAGTAAAGCGACAAAGACTTCGGTGTCCTTGGGCACGTAGTTTAGCTGCATTCCCATGGAGATCTGCCAGGCGAAAAAGTCCTGGGAGGTTACGGCCCATTTCAACGGGTTTAGGGTTTAGGGTTTATATGGGGGCCGGCTGCGACTTCAAGCGCGGAGACAGCTGGAAGAGTACGACGGGCAGGCCGAACCCTTTTGCAGTAGCAGCAATCAAGAACTACTGTTATGATGCAGTACCGAATGACACCACAGCGTTTTTCTCGGAATGACCTCGACGATACGAAAAGCATAGATATTGAGTTGATGCCGATTCGGAGCTTTCCATGGGCTCGCAAGACTCGTGCTAGGGAAGAAAAGCTCCGTGCGAAGTCTTGTCGGAATAACTTCGTAGTGCTTGTACCATTTCAAAACATCCGACCCTACATTGATGTGCAACTTGAGTGACAAATACATACGTAAGCTACTTGGCCGTCCCATGTGGACATCGCTGTTCATGAATCTTAGAGAGCCGTTCTGCAAGCGATAACCGTATTATAAATGATCCTTGTGGAAGATGCAGTTGCAACAAACGTCACTACGACGACAAAGACAGCAAGCATGCTTCGTGTTGCAGCCTCTTTTTGTAGCGCTGCTTTCAATTCTACAATAGTGCACGTGGGACCCGACCACAGGCACGACCAACAGCCACTCTGAACACTTTGGCTGAGTGGCATCCGCCGTCGGCCCGAACTGGAAGCTGCAGTTGGAGTAGGTGCCTGCACGGGAGACTCCTGAACCCCCGCCCTCGAAACCCTGCATTCTGAAAACGATAAGACACTTTGGCTGTCGGGTAGTTTAGACAACATCCAGTAGTGGCCGGAGACACCTCCTCGGCACAGGCTCCCCTAAGCAGAAAACACTCGAGGCATGGAGCATGGAGCTGCTGTGTACTTGGAGGTTCATGGGTACTGTGGACCGTAGTTCCAAGTGGAGGTAGGAGTCCCCTAATATGGGCTTTAATTGCAGTTACCCTACTCACAGCTCCGTTTACAAATACTCCAAGGCGTCAATGTCAAAGGACAGGCCCTAAACCACCACAAATACTAAACCCTAAATCCCACATCCTAAACCACAAACCTGAAATTCCCCAACCCTAAACCCTCAAATACCCCCAAAACCAAAAACCTTCCAGATAGCCCGGAAGCCTACCCGAATAACCTACGGCAGCCGGGTTGAAGGTGCTTTATCCTGTTTTCAAGGTTCAGGCTAGATCCCCGAAATATGGAAACAAGGTAGGACACAGAAGGAACCAAAAATGAAGAGCCAAGGCGACATGGGGCAAGACTAGGGTTCCTCACGATGCTGCGGCTCCAGCACGTGTAGGCAAGGGGAAGTGTAGGGTTTTGGTTTTGGGGTTTGGGGTTTTAGTTGAGGGTTTCGACTCACACACTCGCTCCAAGCAGGCATGGCTTCATAACGTCCGAGATTGAGGGTTCAAGGTTTAGGTTTAGGTTTGGGAGCTTCAGAGAAGAAGGGCTTGGGCTTTAGGGTGCCGAGAGGGCCTAGTACAAACCTCCCGGGATCGTTGGTTACTTAGGTTCCGTACTCATGCTATCTAACCATAAGGACCCCAAGTTCGTGTATCACTAGTTTTCAGAAATGCCGAAGTCGGGTAGTTCTGTAAAGCGGGGTCCCTTTTTGGATCCCCAACCAATACGGCACCCTTACACAAGGGCCCTAAAAGGGACCCGACTTTGGAGAGCTACCCAAATTTGCAGCCACCCTAAACCGAAAGTCCTAAACCCTAAACCCTAGACCCTAAACCCTAGACCCAAACCTTAGACCCTAAACCCTGCAGCCCATGCAGCGGAAGCCTAGGGCGTGGGTCGCCACGTACCAATCTTCGCAGAAGGCTTGGACCTGTTCGGGAAGGCTTGGAGCGGCCCGGGCTCCCTTCAAAAGGAGTCCTCTTCAAAGATACCCTGAAAAGGGTCCTTTTGAAGGTACCCTGAAAGG